GAGAGAGAGAGATAGAGAGAGAGATCTTACTCTGTGGCCCAAGCTGAAGTGCAGCGTTAGCCTTGACCTCCTGGATTCAAGTGATCATGCCTCTGCCTCCTGAGCTGCTGGAACTACATGTATGTGTCACCATGGTCAACTCATTTTTAAAACTTTTTTGTAGAGATGAGGTCCCACTATGTTGCTCAGGATAGTCTTGAACTCCTGTGCTCATACAATCCTCCTTCCTCGGTCTCCCAAACTGCTGGGATTATGGACATGAGCCATTGTGCCTGGCCTCTATTGCCAGGTTTTCATAAGGACTCAGCACACAGATGATGCTCAGTACGTGTGTTTGAATTGAACTGAATAATTGTTTATTATTTCTGTCTTATGATATCAGAACTATGGTTAGCTTTGAAAATTCACCCCAAAAAAGAGAGCATATTTCAGTTAAAACTGACTTGATGATAAACACAAATCAGAAAATATGGAAAGTTCTGGAGAAGTACAAATGGGTCTCATAAAAAGAAATAAAAGACTTAATAAAGAGCATACACACACACACACACACATGCATACACACTGCACTCAGGAATAACCAGACAAATGTAATAAGGAATAAACAAGTAAAACTAATTAGGAAAAAAAGAAATTGAAATAAGAATTAAATGACAACGTTTACTGGTCAGTCTATTGGAATACATTTTGCTTGAGGAAAACAACTTTTCTCCTATGTTTCTAAGTATTCATTACAGAATTAGCCCAGCTCAGTAAATATTCAGTAGTGAAAACTAGCAGAAGTTCCTCGTTATGAGACTAAAAGAAATTTGATTTGGGGATATTAAAAAAGAGAGAAATAAGAACAAAGGAATTTGATTTTTTTTAAATGAGGAGTATTTTACACTAAAATGATATCAGTGGGGAATATTGTAACCAGGCATTAGTTGGGACCAGTCACTATTTAAAAGGCAACCTTGTCTATTTAAGGAAGATGAACCAGGAGATCACTGAAGTTTTCTGTCCATCTTCTCTTTATCTCACTAAGGAAGGAATCAAATCATACTGTGCTATTTTGAATGCGGTGGGGAAAAAAGAATGTGATTTATATCATGTTGAAAACAAAAATAATACCATATGCCGTGCCCACTGAGAGCCATTATGATAATACATCAGTCAGGGGGTGTATAATTGCTCAGCTTAGAAGTGCCACCAAGTCACAGCACTGACACCAGCAAATTCTCTGCAATTGGTGTTTGATTCTTTTTTTCTTGCCAAGTTAAAAATAATAATAAGGATAACAGAGTCTCTCTTCAGGCACTGGAATGCTTATTTTCTTTTAAAGTCTTATTTACAGGCAAACTCTTATTTAGGAAGATAGTCTGTTGCCTTTGGAATGAAAGATTTTTTTAATACTTACAATCCTCATTTTTTTTATTGAACTCAACTTTTGTTTGTTTGTTTGTTTTGCTTCATTCCAGTTCTACCTTCTCCTAGAGCATATCCTGTGGCTATCGCTCCCTTTTCTAAAACATTAGTAGAACATCAATTATCCTAGGCTATTTATTATTTACTATTTTCTGTCTTTGATAACCTCTGGTGTTGAATTAAATCTGGAAACTGTAGCTTAATCCATGGATGGGAGCGAAGGGCCTTTGAGCATTATATAATTATATGCATAACTGTATGTCTATGTATTGGTTTTGTATTTTTCTAGAGTGTCAATTACTTTCTTTAGATCATAAAGAAGACTTGAGACAAAAAAAAAAAAGAGAGAGAGCTCAAGACATTGAAATTTTTACTTTCAATCCTGGAAGCACATAGGAAGTATAAGTTCTCTCCTATACTGCTTTGACCAAGTCCAGTTCCATTTACTAACACTTTAGCAATGTCTGCTATGTGCTAATCATGATTCTAAGTACCTTTACTTTATTCACTCAGTAATTCTTTGCAGCAATTCTAAAAACAGATTATATTATCATCCCTGTTTTACAGATTATAAAATGAGACACAGGTTCATAAAGCGAGTGAGAGAGAAAGCCAGGCTTCATTTTCAGGTGGTCAGGCTTTAGAGACTATGCTCTTAATTACTTCTCTATACTTACTGTGTATATGGCATGTGTGTCCTGGAAGGTCCACAAACAGAAGGTCATTACTATTATTAAAGATTTCTGAAGAGAAATTTGCTTTTGTAGTCTCAAAACTATAATCAATTGAAATACACCAGCGAACTAATTCATTTATGTTATAAGCACTTATAACACGTCAGCCATGTGTTTATCATTGGGCAATAATTTAATTAAATTATCTCATTTGATCTTTGTATTTGTATTTGAGGTAGGTAAGGTAATTCTCATTTTAGATGACAAAACTGAGGTTCTGAGGGACTAAATAACAAGCTTTATCTCATTCACAAAGTGTCAGAAGAGTTCAACCGATGTCTCTCTCAGATAGTGCATCTCTTAGCTTCCCTGCGGGACTAGTTTTCCAATCAAAAGCTACAAACATTGATATAAATTTTTCTAAACTTAGAGATACAGTTTGTAAAAATCAACTTAGTTATTGACAGTCTAGGGCAGCATCTTGTAAGTGGTATATAGGCACAAGAGGCTATCCATTTTTGGATTGAGTAAGCCATAATTTATTCACTGTGCTCTTTCTTTTCACTTCCATTTTTACTCTGAGAGCCTCTCCTCTGAACTCTAGACTAATATAAATACCTTCTTCCTATCGCCACCTGAATGTCCAGTATGCATCTGGCCCCATGTGATCTGTCCCTCATCCAATTGCCCTACCACCCTTCCAACCTCATCTTCCTTTCCCCCCCTCACCATTCAGCTCCAATCTCACCTGCTTCCAGGCTAGCTCTTCAATGTACCAAGCATGTTTCAGGTACTTTGTAGCTACTCTTCTCTCCCCAGGAGTTATCACTGTCAGGTCTCTGCCCAAATGTCAGATTATTAGAGAGATTCCCTGGGACCACCCTAGCAAAAACAGCAGCCCATCCAACTCTTTGATTCTCACTGTCCCTTACTCTGATTAGTTTTTCATTTAGCAGTTATCACCATTTGATATATGCTATATTCACTTATTTATTTAATGTTTCTCTCTCCCTTCCAACTTCCTTGAAGTATGAGCTCCACAGAGGACAAGAATATTGTTTTGTTCACTGCTCTTTTCCAACCATCTAGTATGCTTCCTGGCAAAAGGCAAATGAAAGAAAGATAACTGAAAGCATGGATTTTCTTCTATTGCACAGGAACCAGTGGCTGGGACAAGCTGTGGAAAAAGTACGGATCCCGCTTACCCCGAGATGACCTCTGCCAATATGTCACATCATCTGACCTCACTCAGATGCTGGACAATCTGGGGTTTAACTATGAGTGTTATGACCTTCTGTCTACCATGGACATATCTGACTGTTTTATTGATGGGAATGAAAATGGAGACCTACTTTGGGATTTTTTGACTGAAACCTGCAACTTTTACATGACAGCACCACCTGATCTCAAAGCAGAAATTATGAAAGATCTACAAGAGCCTGAATTTAGTGTTAAGAAAGAGGGCAAGGTTCTTTTTAATAATAGTCTGAGTTTCATAGTGGTTGAGACATAACTATCTATCACAAGAATGTATTCAAAGATTATATTTTGAACAATGTTTATCACCCATCTATTTCCATATTAAAATTACAAATACATTGCATAATGTAGATAGAGCACTGTTTGCATATGGAATCTAGAAAATTCCAAGACATACTGATCTTACCCTTTTACTCCCCTGGGTAGAGAGACCACATGCAGGCTAAATATCACACAACCTGAAAATATGAGCCAACTGAATCACACTGTTTTATTGACAATAAAATCCATTTCACTTTTACAGATTGTCTGGAGTTTTCTAGATTACTAATAAACTATATGTTATGAATTCTTTAAATATTAGTGAAGTACATATTTACTGAAACCTTGAATACTAGTATAGTATATTTACTGACTTTTTCTCTTTTGTGAAGTATTTATCTTTGTATATTCTTATATTGCACTTTTGATCTTATTTTTGATTGATTATTAAGAGTAGCGCATTTAGAGTATTATAAAATTAACTCTGTGTCATGTGTTGTTCTTTCTTCTCATTTTGCTTTCTCTTGTAGTTTTATCTGTGATTTAATAGTGCTTTGTTTGTCTTTTTATATACCAAAGTTTGTCTATTGTATTCAGTCAATTTTTTTTTTACATTTCTGAGTTTCTGACACAGTTTAAAAGGTCTCTAAAACCAACGTTTTAAAGTGCTAAGATATTTTATCATAATAATATTATAGCTTCACTTTAAAAAAATGAAATCTTAAATATGTTTGAAATGTATATAAATATAGGGTAAGACCAAGAACAAGTTGTTTTCCCTCAAAATAATAGCCAGCTTTATAAACAAAATTTGAAAAAAACTGAAAAACAAAAACCCACTAACTTTAAATCCAGCTTTTACCATTTACCAAACTTCTAGAAAACCTTGACTATATTTTGATACTTATAGTATCTTATATTGATCTAATACCAAGAGTCATCTTTGGACAATAGGATTTCAGTGGGTTATATAAAATGAATCTGTTGTTCTTAATCTTATTTTTAATAATAAGCCTCCTGTCATTCTTGAAAAAATGGGAGGTCTCATTAGATAAGCAAATAAGTAATTTAACAATTAGTAAATAAATGTTTTAAGTAAATAATTGCCACCCTCTTTCAAAAATACAACAAAAGTAAGATTTTATCAAATAGCTCATGAATCCTCATTCTCCCAGTAAAGAAGTCTTCAACCCAGTGAGATATTTGCTCTTTCACATTATAGGGCTACCACTTAAGTGCAGTATAGTCAATTAAAAAAATTATTGACTCTCCCCAACCCCTAGCTCATCCCAGGGAGTGCACTGGTGTAGAGAGCCTATTTACACTAACAAATTACCACGCTTTGTTGTTCATAATAAGTAAGACTGACTTCCATTGCTCTCTTTTCTCAGACAAATTTATCAGTGATTTTTAAATTATATGTTCCAACAAATGAAACAACAGTTATCCAATCAGATTCCTGAATACAAACATTGAACCATTAATCATACCGATATGTACCACTGACAAAGGAATTATGTGAGACAGACAGAATTGATGGATTGGGACTATGATGATCTCGAACACCTTCACCAAACGGATGAAAATCAAGATGCTACAGAGTAAATTGTGGGCTTTTGTAAAAAGCAAATGTACAAAACCAAACAAAAATAGAGTGAATGTGCTATTTTAAAAAGAAAGGAATGACAGTCCATAGACTGGTATTTGTAAATATGGCTTTTTTTCTCATCCCATAAAAGACAAAGATAAATAAATTCTTATTTAATGTAACAAGAACATACAAGCTTTTTTTTTTTTTTAAAGAAAATTCCCTTACTAGTTAGATGAGTACTTGTTAGTGGCGGGAAGCTGTATAAGTTCAAGGGATGAAACTGTTGGCTTCTTCCTGTACTGCATGCATGACATTACAAGGGATTTGAGGCAGTCACATATTAACTTTTCATGAATTCAGAATATTGTTTTATAGATCATTGTGCAACTTTAACATAGTGTCTTGCATATGGTAGGTGCCAAGCAAAGGGTGATCAATGAATTCTTTTCTTCTCAAGCATCTATCTTATATGTGTTTATATTTTTTATAAACGGAGTTTAAGCAATCCACAAAATTATGTGGATTATGTTGCCCTTAGCATTATTGTAAACCTAATTTAGGACTGCTTCAGACACTTTTTTCCATTTGTTGTTGGATAGTATTGCCAAAATCCAAAAATAAAGTGTGATACGAAGCACAGTATTTTAAGGCCTTGATATTTACTTATTATAAAAATTGGTAACTTTCTTAATTAAAAACTCTAACACTCTGGGCCATAAAAATTAAGTAATTTCTAATGCACACCCATAAAAAGAGATGCAAATGTCATACAGAATACTAGATCTTGAGTTCATGAAACTGCACAAATCCAAATGTATATTTAATGTATTTTAAATGTGCATTTAATAAGAATAGCTTACATGTAACATTTTATTATTTTAAAATCATATTTATATGTGTTTACCACACCAGAATGTTATTTTTAAGAAAATAAGCCCTTCTTGCAAAGTCCCATCTTTGGAATGCATGAATTAAAAATAGTCTTGTTAGATGGAACTGTAGAACCAGACTTTCTGGGTTTCAATCCTGGTTGTGTTAATCACTCACTAAGTGACCTCAGGCAACTTATTTTCTCTCTGGTCTCATATTTCTTCATGTGCAAAATGAAGAGAATCATAATATCTACCATAGATGATGGTTATGTGGATTCTAGGAGTTAAGCTACATAAATATGCTCATAAAATGCTAGAATCATCAGGAATATTCAAAAATATTAATTACCATTACCATTAGTTGCTCATAGAGATTCAATATGAAATGCAGAATAAATAAAATTTAAGATTAAGGAAAAATTATGATTGAGGCCAGGGAGCTCATACTTACAGCTAACCTAGTTTCCAACCTTCACATTCTTGGCAAAAGGTATATGGCTTCTGTTTCTCCCAAAACTAAGCTGATACTCCTAGAGGCACTAGGTGCCATCACTGCTGCACCACTCAAGGCCCACCTTGAAGGTTCTGTCTTCCTTGGCCCCTGATGCTCTGAGTGCCTGTGCTCAGTACTATGTGAAGTGGCCCCATCTCGGCCTATCTGATTAGACCGAGTGAGCTACTGACACATAGATGGAATCCCACAGGCCAGACAGAAATAGATTGGAGCAACTCTCTTAAAAAATATGAAGAGAAACCATTACATTTTTCTCCTAGAAATTTGGAATTGTAAGTCCAGAACCATTGGACATTCTTCCATTCATTCATGAAGTATACATTCAAGCAATATTTATTGAGTACCTCTTAGGTATGAGGCACTCTATTATTATTAATTATTTTTGAGTTGGTGTCTCACTCTGCTGCCTAGACTGGAGTGCAGTGGCATGATCACGACTCACCACAGCCTCGACCTCCTGGACTCGGGTGATCCGTCCCCTTGAGCCTCCCCAGTAGCTAGAACCACAAGTGCTCGCCACCACGTCTGGTTAATTTTTTTTTTTTTTTGTAGAGATGAGGTTTTACTATATTGCCCAGGTTTGTCTAGAACTCCAGGCTTCGGTGATCTTCCCACCTCAACGTCACACAATGCTAGGATTACAGGTGTAAGCCCCTGCACCTGGCCGTAAGGCATTCTAAGCAAGGTAGCTATTGTAGTAAAACAACAACAACAACAAAGTTCCTGACCTCATTGATATGATTTCTAGTAAGTGAAATAGACACAAAATAAATACATGTCAGATAGTGACAGGCAGTATTAAGAAAATAAAAGTAAATAAGGGTAAAATAGTATCAGAAGGTATAATACTAGGTGGAGTGGTCAGGAAAGACCTCTTTAAAAAGGTAAGAGTTGAACAGAGACTTAAATTTAGTGAAGGAGCAAGCCACACACAGAGTTGGATAAAGAGCATTTGAGGACAAAGTAAGTACAAATACAAAGACCCTGATGTGAGGATGAGCTTTACGTATCCGAAGGACATAAGGAGGCAGGTGACTTTCTATAGTAGCTGAGATGAGAGGTCATAAGATTCAAGTCCAGAGTGGCCACTGGGGCCACACATGGGAGGACCTCATTTGGATGTCAGAATGTGAAGGAGAGCCTTGAGCAGACTTGCAAAGCGAATGAAAGATGCCAGGACCACGTGGCTTCGAATGGGACATGAGCTTTTTATCTAATACCCTTGATCATTTCCCATTCCTGTCTATGTCTATCCTGAAAACAAATACCCTTTTACTAGAAGTATCCTTGTGGGTATCTGCTTCTTGTCTCCCAAATGTCCTGGTTAGAACAACATATAAGATCTCATCTCATTCTTACTTAATGAGTTAGAAAGATTAGCTATTATTATCCTGTTTTGAGGGCAAGGAAACTGAGATAAGTTAAATAGCTTAGCCTAACTCTCAAAGTAAGCTCGTGACAGGAAGTAAGCCAGACCCTATACATACTGATTCCACACTGTGTGTCTATGTACTGGGCAAATTAAATTTATGATCTTTCCCCTTAGATGACTTCATAGAACTAAATTGCATTTGTCCCAAAATATTCATGTGTAAACTAAGGGAATCTGATTACAGAAGGGAAGAAGAAGCAATTAGAGAATCAAGGAGCAGTATGAATAAAAATCACCTTCTTGAATAGTCAAATGGCACTCTTTCTAAGCACTATACTTCACTGATAAATTTGTTTAAGCTAGTCTCAAATACCTGGTTCTTCCATTCCATTGCCCTGACTTTTGCCTGTATGTCTCTGTTTCTATTCCCACCAGGTCCCAGACATCACCAATTTCATGTTCAAATTATCTGTCACCTATATCCCAGGTCTCTGTGATTCATACACTGTGCAATACGCATCCATAGTACACGATCAACTAATGTAGGATAGTTAAAGCTACGGATCATGTAATCCATTTCTCAATGTGATATACACCATAAAAAGGCAACTGCAGTAAAACGAGGGTTGATTTAAGAGGTTCCCTGGGCAACGACAGTCACAATTTCCAAACGTGCCAAAAATTCATTAGGGCTCAAAGTCAGATTGCTGTAATCTCTGTAGCAATGGATTAATAAATACAGTGAGGCACTGTTTTGGAGGCTGCAGTGACACATGTGGATATTCTATATAAGTGGTGTCTTCCCATGATCATGTTCTTCTCTTGAAAAATTATCTGTTTCCTGATTTGTCTTAATGATACTTGAAGGACTTTGCAAACAACCTGCCTCGGAGAGAAAATGCTGAAATAA